TTCCTTCCTTCCTTCCTTCCATCCTTCTCCTCTCCACTGATCATCTTTACTTAAAGATCCACTGTGGTGTGAGCTTACTTTTGCTAATGAGAAAGGCTGTTTTAATTAAGATATGTTCCCTTGACTCACAATACAAGTCCACATGGTTGATTGTGAATCAGATCTCTGGAATAAGAGGTTTTGCTTGTCTCAGAAAATGGGAACATGTCGGGGAGATGAAGCCTCCCTCTCTCCTCTGTGTCCCTATAAACACTAAATACAGTGAACGTTATTTTTACCTGTCTTGGCACAGAAACACTCCTGTGGAGTGGGAGTGTGATAAGGAGAAAGGGACACATGGTGGGTGCTGTGCTAACCTCCCCGACCCTCTCAGCCTTGAGGTGTCACCCCGTCAGCCTCTAGAGCTCTGGCTGCTGAGGGATCACCCCCAGTCCCTCCCTGGAGTTCCCCTCCACTGAGAGGGACTGCTTCATTCTCATTTGCCCTCTCCTAGGGTTTGGCTTCTGTTCCTGGGCAGACAGCATCCTATGATTGTCCAAATGCCTGGCTACTTTGCTTCAATTTGCAACAGTTCTGACGGGCCATCCAGCTTTACGGCTTCTGAGGGGTCAGCTGAGTCCTTTACTGCAACCTGCATTGTGGTTCAACCCCTCCTCTGTATAGTGCTGCTCTGATCAATGCCTTATAGGTGTCTCTTCCAAAACCTCCTGCACAGAAATCTCACAGCCTCGATTTCTGTGTCCAGAGCACCCAAACTAAGAAAGAAGGCTATTTTAGCAAGAGCCAGGTGTGTAAACTGAAAGGCGCTTCCATCATAAATGCATTTCACTGCCTTTATCAGTTTTAGTGTTGTTTCCATTCATTCGTTGATTGATTCATTCAAATAATGTCAATTGTGTGCCTATTCCATGCAAAATGCTCAAGTTCTTTCCAAGAGTAGAAATATTTTGAAACCAACATTAATTTCATGACTGTGGTTCTTTTTCCAAGTCTATGGACAAATTCTTCACCTTTAATTGCTTAGAGCAAATGTGACAAGACACAGAAGTCCATATTTTTTCATTGTGTTTTCCCTTCCTGTGCTCAGCTGGCTCCAACAATTTTTTGCAACAATTTTTTCCCCTGAGCTCTGCTCTCAGGGGAAACACTGTGACAGTAGTAAGTGGAGAAAGCAGGTAGGACTTTACCCAGACTCAAGTATTATAACTGAGTTTCCTCTCTGCAAGTTTAGTTCTCTAAGCAGCTAGGACAGATGGAAAGCAAGAGCCTCTGAAAGAGCTGCCCAGTCAGTGCAGAGCAGCTGGACTTCGTGGCTCACAATTCCTTTCTTGTCCCATTCCTTGGCCTCTGGAAGCTTCACAAGAAAGAGATACCATGCCTTTCTCCGGGAGCATAGAGGACTCAGTTGCATGCCTTTTGCTACCAAACCACAACCCTACACACACACACACACACACACACACACACACGCTGGGGACAGGCAGGAGGTGTTCTTGTTTCATGGCCACCATTTTTGCCAAGACCTCATACCTTTGGGATTAAAGATAGGAAGATTTTTACCTGCACATCGCTTGTGGTGGGATCGTCCCAAGTGAAGTTTCATTAGTTCCCTGCCGCCACCCTAGAGTGAGGACTCCAGCTTTACTCTTCCTTTGACAGCAAGGACCTACTTAGCAAGACCTTGCCCTCCTTGTCCCTGGCTGGAGCTTGGTTTTCACACAGTGCCACGAGTGTGTGTACTGGAGTCAACTCTGGGCTGTATGGATGTCATAAACATGACTGCATTCCTGGTTGGACTGTTCCATCCTCATGCTGACTCTCACCCTTCTTATCCCCTTGTTGACACACTGCTCTACATTGTCCTTGAATTCAGCACTCAAGGATGGGATTGGTCACCTTGCTCCTTCCCTAGGGTATGGGCCCACTTCTTTCCAGGTGAAAGCTGTACCTTAGCTGCTTCTTGCTTCCAGCCTGCCTCCCATTCTCCTCGCTGTGAGCAGTGACCTTGTGTGTGTGGGGGGCAGGGAGGGCAGGGGAAGATTGGTGAGTGTACACTAGTGTGTGTTAGCACACACGTGTACTCCTGTGCATGCATTCAGAATCCTCCCCAGGGAAATTTACATGTGCAGATGGACTGGACCTATCAAGTCATTTAAGGCCTGATTAGCCCCTCCCTAGACCCTCCTGCCTGATACAGAGACTACCATTTAAGACAACAGACATTTTGCATCCGAAAAGGACAGAGTTGGGAGGAAGGATGTCAGACCCACCTTGGCATTGGACCCAATCATCCAAGATGGCACGTTTATGAGGGAAGCAGGCAGAGAAATAATGCACTTTCCAAAGATGCCAGAGTTTTACTTTGGCTTGTGCAATTACAATAGTGGGCATTAATCATGTCATTTTTAGATGTAATGTACACATACAGCCAACTGAGCATTTCCTAGGGCCCCCGTGAAATGCTGTGTGAAAGATTCGCTGAGTCCCTAGCCGAGTTAGGCTCCAAATTATTCCAAGAAGAAATTAATTTTTGACAGCATACAACATTTCACTGAACTGTAAATGAAGAACACCTTGCAGTTCTTCCCCATATGTTTTAATGTCCCCCCTTCCCCTTCTGTTCCTTTCTGTAATTCTGGAAACTGCAGTTCTTTATCTAGGAAGTATCTTCTGTTTTCTCAGAACAGCCAGCTGCTGACATGGAATATGCCCTCACACACAGTGCCCTGGGGCCCAGCAGACAAAAAAAAAAGGAACTGCAGCATTTTCCCAGGCTTGCTTTTTGAGAACAGGTTAGCTAGACGTGACCCTGGTTCTTCCAGATAAACTAGGCTGCAAAGCGCTCCTGGAGGTTTAATATCATCCCGAGGACCCAGCAATCTTGTTTCTCCGTGCCCCGCCCCCCCTTTCATGATTGAATTAAGACTTAATGTGTAAAAGTCTCCGACAGGATAGCCCCCAAGGAAAGCGCTCATGTTTCCAGTCCTAAGTGGGCTCTGAGAATAAACCAAGGAAAAACTGAAGTGAGGAGAAAAAGCACAGGAGACGATGGGGCAAGCTGTTGCAGTTGGAAAACGCGAACCAGCTGCCATTGCTAGAAACGACTTCATGAAGGAAATGCCTTCCAGGTTGCTTTTCTGCCCAGACGCCATATCCATCCGCTCTCTTTTTCTCTCCCCGCCCCGCCCCCATGAACCTCTGCACCCAAGGAGAAAGAATGATGAGAACATCACGCTGGAGACCGTTTGCCACGACCCCAAGCTCGTCTACCATGGATTTGTCCTTGAAGATGCTGCTTCGCCAAAGTGTATCATGAAGGAAAAGAAAGTGAATGGCGAGACTTTCTTTATGTGTTCCTGCAGCACGGATGAGTGCAATGACATCATCATCTTCTCAGAAGGTAAGTGTCTTTCTCCTGATGGGCTGGAGCCTGGCTTCGTCTGTGCTGATTGCTTTTGTGTCTCCGGTCTGAGGCTCAAGACAGCACTTCCTTCTGTGTCTGATGCTGGAGGGTGAGCTGGTGCGCTGTGGATTAGCAACCCAGTCGCCTGGTGGAGAGCAGTGCTTACTGAGTAACAGGGTTGGTTCCATCTTGATCAAAGCTGGCGCATAGGCCCATGTGATTATTTGTCTTGGACAAATAGCTTCTTTCACTAGAACAGTGGTTCTCAAAGTGCGGTCCCCGGAACAGCCGCAGCCGTATCACCTGAGAATGTGTTAGAAATGCAGATTCCGGGGCCCCACCACAGACCCACTGAATCAGAAACTGTGGGTGCTGTGCCCAGCCACCTGTGTTTTAACAAGCCTTCCAGGTGATTCTGATGCAGCTAAACTTTGAAAAGCATTGGTCTACAGATTAGAGGAGGCTGTTTGATACAAGAGGGGGACTTGCTTTGAATGAACTCAAGTGGTTTTGTGTAAAGATTCCTAGGATTTGTCTAAAGGGCCCTTATCGTTGGTCCCATTTGAGAGGAGAACTGAAATGCAGAAGGAAAATAATGAGCCAAGGTTCACTCCTGGAGACAGGGAAGACTAGATTAGATTCTCCTGTTTATCTTTGAAGTTCAGCATTCACTCAGCTTGAAAGACAGGCACACACTGGTCCCTCAATTTGAAAAAAACGATTCAATGATTTGAATTACAAAAGCAGTAGATGTTCCTTATCAAAATTTCAAACAATCCAACAATATGTAAAATTTAAAAAATGGAAGTACATTAACCTCATCCCCTCACTCCCACCCCAACAGATAAGCAATATGGCATTTGTTGGATTTTCATGTGTGTCTCACTCATTTATTTATTCATATAATCCTTCCTTCCCTCTCTCATTCCCTACCCCTCACTCTCTCCTTCCTTCCCTTTCTTCCTCCATCCATGCATCTGTCTACCTGTCCATTTGTCCTTCCTTCTATCCATCCCATCCACTCATCCATCTTTCAGTACAAATAGTTGATCTGACTATAAATATTATTGGGTGACTTTTTTTTTTTTCACCCAACCACTTTTACTTCTTCTAAACAAGACAATACATACAGATATACTACACACCTTTAAGCTGCCTAGAATTCCATAATATGGATTACCTCCTATCACTAACTGAACCATTCCCATTCGGTGGATTATTTAGGTGTCCCTGGTTTTTCGCTTAAAGCTACATTGAATATCTTAACAATGCATATGTGCGATTACTATTTCTGCAAGGTAGATTTCTAGAAGTGAAGTTTCTCAATCAAAGTTATGAACATTTGAAATATAGTAACCACTATTAAACTGTTCTCCTTCCAAAAAAAGATATGTGAGCATAGGGATTTCCATGTGCCTTCTCCAACACTGAAGATTGTAAGCCTTTTAATTTTGCCAGTCTGGTAGTGAAAATAATATTCTCTTGGTTTTAGGAATGTACATTTAGAATGTGAAAAGGTCGGGGCCGGCCAAGTGGCTCAGTTGGTTAAGAGCTCGCTCAAGAGTTTGAGCTCTGAGCAACAGTGGTTCGAGTCCAGCCCAAGCTGAGCAGCCGCTGAGCTGCCAACAGGTAGCAGGATGGCTCAGCTAAAAACAAAACAAAACAAAACAAACAAACAAAACAAAAAATAGAATGTGAAAAGGTCACTTTAGCCCAATAAACATTCCTTTTGGAACATGAGTGCTGGGTCTACACACTATCCCTGTATGTTATGTGTCCCCACTATGGGAAACGATGGATTTCCTCCATTGTACATGGTGCTCACCAGCACTGCAGACCAACCTCCTGCTCTCTGTCTGTGTCCTTCACCTGCTGCCAGTTTCCCTCTCTTCCTGTCCAACTCCCCACCTCTGCCAACTTCTCAGTACCCGAAGGCAGGCATGTACATCTTACCAGTGCAACACTTTCCAAAATCACTCCTTCCTCCTATTTTCTTGTCCTATAAACACTACATTTATCTCAGTTTACTTATATACTTTGAGTGAGAAAGGAAGATATAACTAGATTAAATCACACTAAAGCAGAATACCTGATACTTTGGATTCACATGTCAGCTTTCTCCAAGCACTTCCTTTTTTCAAAAAAGACCCAGGGTAAGCCATAGGAATTCATCTTTAATTAGTAGAATATCTAGACATTTTATTATCACCTATGAAACTTTTCTCTCCTTTTGCACGCTGACTCGTCTACAATTAAAGAGTTTATTTCATCCAAAAGGGACACAATTTGATAAATGACCTGCAAGTTGGAGATAGCTATATATGTATATTACGATAAGCTTTTAAGATATTAATGACTTCAGTTTTCAATGTATTTTAACTCAGGTGATAATCATGGGCCCACATTCATACATTTTTCCTCTTATTCATTATCAGGCTTTTTCTTTCTCTATGAGGTGAGATAATCACCCTAAAGACAATTTCTCATTGTACAACTCAAGAAATCCAGCACAGCTGATGACTCAGATGTCTGGGTGATTTCAGCGTCTTTTAGAATAATGATCCAAGGTTGTTTGCATTTAATCTTCTAAAATGTTCTAGGGGATGTTTGCTTTGTTTTTTAAATATCTCTCTTCTCTGAAAAGAGAGATTTTCCCTCGCCTAAAACAACAGGTGCTAGAGCAACATTTTAGGTTCTATTTCTCTACTTATTGCCACCAGCTCTTCTTGATACTAAGAAATGAAAACTCTTGAAGTAATTTTTTATTTCTCCACTCCAAGTCAAACAAGATGTCGAACACAAAACCTCTGGAGTGTTTTACACTGTATTTTGATTAGTACAGTACTCAGATCTTGTTTCCAGATTTCTGATCTGCAAACACAATGGATGATAATTACTTACATCTTTTCATTTTGTTACGTATGTAAGGGAAAAACGTTGAGCTACAGATTTTCTTTTTACATGTAAATCTTAATTTTCAGTGCTATTATGAATGATAGCTCACATACAGAGAGAAGATGCTGTTGCCATGTACAGTGCTCAGGCCTTTCCATGGCTTGGCCTCATTTAAATGAAGACCACTCCACGAGTAGGCGCTGGTAGAATCCCCATCTTATGGGTGAGAAAACCAAGCTCAGAGAAGATTAACACTTTGTCCAGAACCACATGACTAATGGGTGGCATAGCTAGGATTTATAATTGGCTATGTAGGAACTAAAAAAGTCTGTGAGGGCTTGCCTTCCTTCCTTCCTTTCTTTCTTCTTTCCTTCCCGCCTTCTTTTTATTTCCTTCTTTCTCTCTTTCTCACTCTCTCTGTCTCACTGTATCTAAACAGATAATAGATACACATATTTTAAAAATGCAAATGCTACAAAAAGGGTACAGTGCAAAGAAAGTCTTCCTTTTAATTTGCCCTCTAATCTCTCTGGCCAGTGCTAACAGTTGGTCATCCATTCTTCCAGAGAGATTTTTCTGCATAGAATTCTGCAGTGGGAATCCTACATTTGGTAAAGCATATAATTGAGAGTTTTAAAAAGTTAGATTCATTGATGTGTAATTTGTATAAAATAAAGTTCACCCTTTTCAACTGCATGGCTTGCTGAATTGTAACAAATGTATATAGCTCTATGACTGCTCTGATAATCAAGATACAGAACTTTTTCATGACTCCCAATCAGTTCCCTCAAGCCTGTTTACAGCCATATTGGAATTTTTATGCACATTTTAAACATGTGGTTGCTTCCTTCCTTTGTGATTTTGATGTTACTTAACTAATGCCATGGCCTCAGCCCCCTGAAGAATGGACACCTGCCCCCCCCCCAATAAAACACTGCTGTTTTCCTTTGCTTCTAGAAGCACCAAGCCTATTCTAACAAACAAACAAAACCAAATGCCAGCTCGGCTGAGATTGCCTCTCTCACTCCGTGTCGCTTGTCTCGATGTCATGCAGTGAGTGATCCTGGAACCTGGCTGGTGGTTTGAAGGGAGAATGGACCCCCATACAAACCCCCGTTTTCCCATTTCAGGCTCCTGGAAGTCAGCGTGTCTAATGGCTTTTACACCAATTGTCCTGTCCCTCTCCTCAAAGCTCTTTTATTTTGTGTACATGAGCAATATACAGAAAATGCACTGAAGATGCATTAAGGTAATCCTCTTAAGGCCCAGTAAGGTAATTAGATCACTATTTCCAGGTGATGCTGGAGGAAAAACAGCAACACAGAAGTTAAGTGCCGTGCCTTCAATCACTCAAATCAGCTTGTCAGTGGTCGAGCTGGGCTGCAGCTGAGGTGTCCAGACTTTCGCCGAGGTCTTACTTCCCTAGTACTGGGCATTCCAAGGGGCATGAGGGACTGCTCTGAGGAACTGGCGGGGAAGGGATCGACTCAGCTCTCCTTCACCTGCTGTGTGGACTGAGCTTCGGTAGAAGATAAGGACAACAGGAAGCTGGCCGGCTTTCATGAGTTTGAAAATTGCTCTAGAACAAAGGAGTTAAAGACACCTTGTGTCTCTCTCAGTGAATCGGGTACTGCCCTTTACTCCTGAAACCCCCCAGTGGGGCCTGTGCTGTGCCCGGTGCCTCTCCTGTTTCCCCGAAGTGGCGAAGGGCAGGTGGGATTAGAGGACCAGCTACAACAGAATGAGGCCAGGCTCTGCTCTTCACAGCTGTGCTCCAACAGACATGTCTTTTCGTCCTGTCTCTGACTCCCTCTTGCCAAAAGATGTGTAGACTTCTGAGGAGGTCAGCATCTACCTACTCCTGAACTCACCAAAACGTTAAGACTCCAGTTAGAAGAGAGGGTGTCTGCCTTGGTTGTTACTGATGGCCCGGTGACAGCTGTGAGTCAGATAAGACCTATCAGCTCCAGGACTGAAGTGAGTAGGATGTAGGAGGAGAGAACCCAGAGCTCATAGGTGCCCTAGTCACTTGCCAGTGACATACCTACTTAAAAGACATTATGTAGTTATTGATCTCTTACCGAATCATTAAGAATCAGACA